CTAAACAATTTAAAGGGAAATAAAAAGGGAAAGGGGAAAAGGGAGGGGTAAAGGGAAAATAAAAAGAAGGGAGGAAAACAAACAAATAAAATAAATGAAGGCTATGTGGAAGTGCAGAGGAAAGAAATTACTCTCTACTTCCCACAAATGAGTGATGATTGACCACGTCCTTGAAGCAAGGCCTCAACGCACCTAGCCGGTGTTCGAGAGGAGGACCGACGTTTTCCCAACGAGAGCCCACCCCTCCCCTCTTCTTCCTGTTTCCACCTTTTATTGCTGAGTGTGACATCACATGGTATGGAATATCCCTTTGGTTGGTTTACATCAGCTGCCCTAGTGATGTTTCTCTTCTCACTTTTTGCCCACCCCCTAGGAGGGTTAGAGAGAGGCCCAATGCTGTGCCAGCACTGCTCAGCAGTAGACACAACACTGGTGTGATAACACTGCTGTTCCAGCTACAAGTGCAGAGTACAGCACTGTATGGGCTGCTGCCGGGAAAGTTAACATTCCAGCCAGACCCAGTACTGATTCTCATGTCTATCCACCTGTCTTTCAGCTGCTGATTCAGAAGGGCATGAGTCTCTGCAAGTCCTCTGTCACAATTCTAAGCCTTATTAAGATTTCTCATATAACTTGTGGAGTTTCAAATTACACTAAACATTGACATTTGGCAAATTAGTTGAACTTGTAGTCAGTACAGTCAATGGAGAATTACTCAAATGGTTTAAAGTGACTGTTTGTTTTAGGGTAAGCTGAGTCAATTAGCTTTATTGATTAGTCCTCTATGGGAGTTTGTACAGTTAACTCAAATGTAGGCCCTTACATGGTGTACACCAATACTTTACAGAATCACAGAATTTTCTAGGTTGGAAGAGACCTCAAGATCATCGAGTCCAACCTCTGACCTAACACTAACAGTCCCCACTAAACCATATCCCTAAGCTCTACATCTAAATGTCTTTTAAAGACTTCCAGGGATGGTGACTCCACCACTTCCCCGGGCAGCCTGTTCCAATGTCTAACAAACCTTTCAGTAAAGAAGTTTTTCCTAACATCCAGCCTAAAACTCCCCTGGTGCAACTTAAGCCCATTCCCCCTCGTCCTATCACCAGGCATGTGGGAGAATAGACCAACCTCCACCTCACTACAGCCTCCTTTAAGGTATCTGTAAAGAGCAACAATGTCGCCCCTGAGCCTTCTTTTCTCCAGGCTGAACAAGCCCAGCTCCCTCAGCCGCTCCTCACAGGACTTTAGACAGTTCTCTATACATAGGTTTTTGATTTGTTTTAGGATATGCCTTTTACATTCAGCTTTTGCTCCAGGAAGGTAACAGTTAATCATGTAACATGGGTCCTATCTTCCATTCTTATGCTGGTGCTCTAAAAGCCTGAGGTTATTTGAGATGACATGGTATGCTTATGCCCTTATGACTGAAATAATTTCATGAAGACAGTAAAAGCTAATTCCCATGCAGTCTGTCTGCTACTTTTGTGTCTCAAGATCTTCTTTTATGAAGAGTTCATTTTTACCTTTGAAAAGATTCCTTTTTCTTGCTTTTTGCGACTTTTAAAATCTTTTAACTTAACTACCCTCTTTTGGAGGGATCTGTTCAACTGAGAAGGAAAGAACAGGCCTGCTCCATGAGAGGAGCCGGTGCCAAGACTGTCCACAGCACAGGCAAGAGCAAATACTTCAGCACTTGTATCTCCTGGGCCCATTGGCAAAAGGTATTTTCAGGTGAGACAAGTAGTATGGGCAATTAAGATTGATGGGAGGACTCAGAACTTGGAACTCCCTCACAGCAACAATTGGATAAATAATATTAGCATCCAGAGAAAACTTTGTAAAAACTGAGGCAACTCAAAGATGAAAATTCAAAACAATAATGTAAATGAAATAAATGATAGTTTCACATATTTATTTATTTGTTGTTGTTGTTGTTGTTTTTAATTTAACCAGGTTATCTGAGTATATCCTCTGGATAAAGCACTTGCTAATCAGAGATTGAAATTATGAACCTTATTATACTTCAGCATCTCAGAGCATCGTTGTGACTTCCTAGTAATTATATAATCATTGTGGCCTTTGCTAATTCAATCACAATGCCAGTTCTCCTTCTGTACTGACAGAGACCAGACAGGATATCCAATAGTACTGAAAATGGTACCACATGTATGCATTTGGCTAATTATTTACCTCATTAATTGAACACGTTTCCATCAGATATAATAGGACCATAAGAAAAACTCATGCTGACATCCAATTTTTAGACATAGAAACTGAACATGATATTAATAGATAAATTAACACCTAAAATCTTATTTATCTACACTGATAGCACCTACATTCAGTTTCAGCTCCTATAACCTCATTGTATTTTATGTGAAGTTCTCTTATTTTCTTATGAATTGTGCTGATGATACTTATTAGAAGATGATCATGAAGTGGCATAGTAACAGTAGCAGCCCAAGAAAAACTAATTCTATTACTGAAAAAAATAGTATTTATATATTTAATGATCATTTATTGTGCTTTTATGAGAAAAAAAAAAGACAGAAGAGTTTATGAGAACAAGGTGATGCAAAATGCTTTCGCTATGAGGAAAATCAAACTGTAGAACAGGTTGTCTATAGAGTCCTTGCATTCTCTGTTCTTGAAGGTTTGGATGGATAAAACTCTGAGCAACCTGATATGCTCTCGTAGCTGACAATCAAGTACGATAACTATACTGGTTTGAAGATTATTTTTTTATTTTTATTTTTCCCCACAGAAGTATGTTTCATACCAGAGCGAACGTATTTTATTTTCAGATATATTTTCACTACATGGTAGAAGTATATTATTTTCTAATTGCATTTTTCTTTCATTCATACATGTAAAACAATATTATGTACCTAATACTTTTATTTTATGTAATATAGAAAAGATAAAAATAATCAATTCCTGTCTGCACAGCTATTGTTTTTACATTTCATATGTAAGAGCATATGCTTTCCATGGTAATGACCTCTGGTTTACAGTCTTTCAAGTTATATATATATATACATATATATATGTATATATATAAATGTTTAATATGAGACACTGTTGGATTCAGTTAAGTTTCTTGAGTATGATATAAATACAGTTAGCAATACGTTTAACTCAAAGTACTGTAGTGATCTGTACCTGGTTGTAGTTCTGCAGTATTTGTCCATGCTATACATTTTATTACTTCTGAGAGCATGTTTAATGAGAATTTTGTGAGCTGGATGGGCAGAGAAACATTATTGAAAACTGGATGAATAGCCAATATCAGACAGTAGGGATGGTTACCACAAAATCTAGTTGGAAGCCCGTATCTAGTGGTGTACTGAAGGGGTAAAATCTGCATCCAGCCCTATTTAATATCTTCATTAATGATCTGGATGATGGGGTAGAGTGTACAGCCTCAGCTAGTTTGCTGCTGATGAAAAATTGTTGATGATGCGAATGTGTCTGATAGACCTAGATCATTGTGCTGGACAGGATGGAGAAGTGGTCTGACAGGAACCTCATGAAGTTCAATAAGGAGGAACAACCCCATACACAACATATGGTTCACCCAGCTGGAAAGCAGTTTTGCAGAAAGGGGCTGGACATCCAGGTGGACACCATCTTGAACATGACACAGAAATGTGTTCTTGTCCTGAAGAAGGCTACTCCTGCATTAGAAGGAAAGTTTTGCCAGCAGGTGGACAGAAGTCACCCTTCCCCTCTACTCACCACTGGTGAGACTACAGCTGGAGTACCGTGTCCAGTTCTGAGCCTTGCAGTACAAGAGAGACATGGACATACTGGAGAGAGTCCAACAAAAGGCCATGAAGGTGAGGAGCATAGTGGAGCATTTCTCATGTATAAAAAGGCAAAGAGAGTTGGGACTGTTCAGCCTATAGAAGAGAAAGCTCGGGGGGGATCTTATCAATGTCTACACCTGAAGAGAGGGTGCAGAGAAGATGGAGCCAGGCTATTTTCAGTGGTGACCAATGACAGAAGAAGAGGCAATGGATACGAACTGGGAGACAAGAGATTCCATATAAACATCAAGAAACATTTATTCAGTGTGAGGGTGACTGAACTCTAAAACAAGTTGCCCAGAAGGCTGTGGAGTCTCCCTCCTCGGAGATCTTTAGAAGCTGCCTGGACAAGGTCCTGGACAACTTGCTCAGTCCCTGCTTGAGCAAGTAGGCACTAGAACAGATGATCTCCAGAGGTCCCATTTAACCTCAACCATTCTGTGACTCTGTGATCTCAAGTTTAATTATAAAGATATTTTGCAGAGCAGTTTACAAACTCAAAGGAAAAATGAATGAGCCAGGGTGTGACAATGTTACTGGTGCTGAGAAACTCAGTTAAATAACATGAAATTTGGATACAAAAATCATAAGCTTCTTGTCCTATACTACAACAATAACAACAACAAAACCAAACCAAGATTAATAATAATAATAAAGTTGTCAGAGCTATTGAAAGGGGAGGAAAAAGATTACTGAAAATATAAAAACCAAATTAACATTTTACTGGAGTAACATTATACAGCCCATTTGTTTTTTTGTTTTTAATGAGAGGTATTTATAAGTGTGCTGAATAAGGCTCAGATGGAATTAACTTTCTTCATAGCAGCCTTTACAGCCTGTGCTTTTGGTTTTGTATCTAAAACAGTGTTGGTAACACCAATGTTTTGGCTATTGCTGAATAGTTCTTGCATAACATCAACATTTTATTTTTCACACTCTATTCCTTTAGTAGACAGTGCCAAGCCAGTTGACTTGAATTGGCCAACGCTATATTCCATACCATATAACATCATACTCAGCAATAAAAACTGAAGCAGAGGAAGAAGTAAGGGAGAGGGAGCTGTCTCCCAAGATGGATTTGTTCAGAGACTGGCTGGGCAATGTGGGAGGTAGTGAGTCACTGCATTTGCATCACTTTTTTTTTTTTTTTTTTTTTTTTTTCTTCACATATTAAATTGTCTTTACCTTGGCCCATGAGTTCTTTTCCTTTTTTTTCTTCGTACCCTCTTCCCTGTCATGCTTGGGCAGGAGGTAGTGGTGATCAAGCAGCTGTGTGGGTAAGCAGATGTTGGTTAGTGTCAACCCAGACAATTTTATCTTTATCACAACAAGTATAACACTTCATTTGACAATTGCATAATAATTATCAATAGTTTCACTAGCTATTCATCAGTCTGGTAAGAAAAAATAAAAATTAAAAAATTAAAAACACCAAATTGTTGCCCTTATTTTTAAAAAAGCAATCTCCTAGAAAACACAGAAAAGAAAATGATGTTTCAAATTTTGGCAGAAAATGTTATTTTGAAATGGAAGAAGTCTGGTACAGAATAGAGATTGATGAGTGTTATTCTGTGCTGTGGGTGGAAAAGGAAGGAGGAATGATATGCACTTCATTCTGGAGAAACAAACAGCAACTTGACTTGTCTACAAAGCTTACACAACTAAACAAAGATTCGATGATGGCAAGGTACACATGATTATAACTGGAAGATACACTTAATTACACACTATATAAAAAACTTATACTACTCAAAGACAGTAGATGAAAGACATTTTATACTAAAAAAACAACCAACCAACCAACCAAACAAAAACATAAGACACTGGCTTAGATGACATTACATTAAGGAAACCCACCCATTGAGTCCTATGGTTCAGAATGTACCCCCTTGCTTTCTAAGTGCCTTGCACTGAAGAAGTAAGGAGCCTAGGTGTGTCTGTATCCAGTCCTAATCCCAGACTTGGTCAACAGTTTATGTCTAAGGATTATAAGCATTTTGAAAATCCTGTGTGATACTTAGCTGAGATTATGAAGCATAATCACAGAGAATATTACAGTGTGTTAGCATACTTTTACATTCCTAATCCATTTACTGACTATCTGTAGTGATAAGGGTCCTCTAAATCTGCAGAAGTAACCTTTTGAGATTTCCCTGCCCAAGAGTAGGTCCTGATGTGCAGCCTGCTGACATGTCATGAGAGCTCCAAGGGCTCTTAGGCTGCTCACTATCTATGAGTTAAGATGATTGACATAGTCACATTCACACACAACTGTTTCCTTCCGAATTTGGTTTGAGACAGGCTTCAATAAGAGCAAGTGCCAGGTCCTGCACCTGGGACGGGGAAACCCTGGCTGCACGTACAGACTGGGCGATGAGACGCTGGAGAGCAGCCTAGAAGAGAGGGATCTGGGGGTCGTGGTACACAGCAAGTTGAATATGAGCCAGCAGTGTGCCCTGGCAGCCAGGAGGGCCAACCGTGTCCTGGGGTGCATCAAGCACGGCATCGCTAGTAGGTCAAGGGAGGTGATTGTCCCGCTCTACTCTGCGCTGGTGCAGCCTCACCTCGAGTACTGTGTGCAGTTCTGGGCACCACGGTATAAAAAGGACATGAAACTGTTGGAGAGTGTCCAGAGGAGGGCTACGAAGATGGTGAAAGGCCTGGAGGGGAAGACGTACGAGGAACGGCTGAGGGCACTGGGCCTGTTCAGCCTGGAGAAGAGGAGGCTGAGGGGAGACCTCATTGCAGTCTACAACTTCCCGTAAGGGGGTGTCGAGAGGCAGGAGACCTTTTCTCCATTAACACCAGTGACAGGACCCGCGGGAACGGGGTTAAGCTGAGGCAGGGGAAATTTAGGCTTGACATCAGGAGGGGGTTCTTCACAGAGAGAGTGGTTGCACACTGGAACAGGCTCCCCAGGGAAGTGGTCACTGCACCAAGCCTGTCTGAATTTAAGAAGAGATTGGACTGTGCACTTAGTCACATGGTCTGAACTTTTGGGTAGACCTGTGCGGTGTCAAGAGTTGGACTTGATGATCCTTAAGGGTCCCTTCCAACTCAGGATATTCTATGATTCTATGATTCTATGATTCTATGAAATTTGGCCAGCAGGTTTTGGGGGGGCAGCATGCTTTGCTCAAACCAGCTATTGACTATTTATCTTCTGTCTCCCCAAAATCCAAGATGCAGCTATCATGACAAGACACATCCATCATGACTTCCATTGATCATTGCTTAGACCAGATGCTCTGCTTAAGCCATAAGATAGAGGGATGGGTAGGGGTACACCCTCACCATCTATATCAAACTTTTGAGCCACTGAGTCAGATTGTGCATAAAAATACTGTGAGGTGTCTCTCCTATCATATATTCACACTAATACTGTAAAAGAGACAATCTTGGCTGGCTAAAACAGACTTAGTTACTAGAAAACATAGGAGAAAAATGGAAATAAAATGAAAAAGAGGAAGTAAGAGATATATGCAAGGATACAAATAACATATTTGAAATGTAAGACGTATTTACTGAAATGACATGTCACATTCATGCTCAACTTAGTGAATGGTGAAGAAAAAATAGCATCTCTGAATTCAGTCAGATTGGGATTTGAATTGTCTTTTCAGCTAGTGCTTTACATTCAAGGGGAGACATCAGAAGGCTTTTTGTGTTTACTTAATTATTCAGTAATAAAACCTTTACAATCAAATTGTGAGGCTTCACATACTTTATTAAATGTGAGTTGACTCAATGACATTTGAAGGACTGCTTGCTTGCTTATTTGCTGTTTTAAAGGAAGCAAAAATTTTCAGGTACTGCGTCTACCTATTAATTTTGAGACTGTCTGAAATCAGACAACCTGTGCCTTCTGCCTATACATTTTTTGCTTCAAACTGTCTATTTGCACTGAAGTCTCAGTTCTGCAACATAAAAATAAATAATAATTTAAAAGAGAAGATGCCTGTCAAAGTATATAGCATAACTAACCGTATACCTAACATTAGACTACACAAACCTTAAAAAACAAACAAACAAACAAACAAACAAACAAACAAACAAAAAAACATACTTTATCATTATCCATATCCAAATAATTTCAAGCACAAGACAAGTTCTGGACATACTGGATAGAAAGGCAGAACCTGAAGTAATACAACCATTTGCAGGATTTGGTAAGAGGGGATTATTCTGAAGAGGTTCTCTAGAGATAAATGATGTACATTTAGTGTGAATGACCAGCAGAATTAGAATGAGAAATGCAGTGCTTGTGATCCACACTGACTGTACTGAGTAGGAATAAAAGAGAGCAAAATACCTGTTGTTCAGAGAAAAACTTCGTAGCAATGTGATAATGTGCATGACCAGGATAAGAGCAGACAGACAAATTATTCCTCTAACTGGTTGAGATGCTTGAAAATCATAGAATTATTGAATCATAGAACATGCTGAGTTGGAATGGACCCACAAAGATCATCAGGCCTTACTCCTGGCTCCGCACAGGACTACCCAAAAATTAGACCAAATTATTGTTCAAACACTTCTTAAACTCTTGAGAGGTTTGCTGCTGTGACCACTTCCCTGGGAAGCCAGGAAAATTCTTCTTTAGAGTGTTTCAAAACACCGGGGAACAGCAGAAGATGCACTGACATGGTAGTTAAGGGTTCTATAAACTATATTTCACATCCCTAAGTAGTTAATTTTAAAGACTTTCTGTCTCCAAAGTGGCTAAGAGTCAAAATTATTTCCTTTGCATGTATGCAGATAATCTCATATGGACTGAAACATGGCTAAATGACACTAGTAGAAGGATAATGATATTTCAATTTAAGGAATGAAGAGTGGTTCCCAGAGATATCTTCAAGAGTACAATGGTAAGGGCAAGATTTACTCTCAAATTGTAAGAAAGAATGAATTAGTGACAAGCTAATGGAAATGATAACATATCCTGAATTTGGAGAAGATGAAGACATTAGAGAGAATTAAGCACTAACTCAGATCCACAAAAGATGTATAATACTGTAAAATAAATTGGAACAAAGTTACAAAGTAAATAAAAGTCCATGACATTAGTATTTAAATGTGTGTGTGTGTGTGTATATATATATATATATATATATATATATATATATTAATTAAATACTCTGGAAATTGCTAATGATAGTGGTAGATATTACAACAGACAAACTTGAAATGGTATTGGCCACAACTGAAAATCAGCATGATTTTAAACTTCTTCCATTAAGCAAAGACCATCTCTCCTGAGGAAGAAATTCTATCTGTTGCAACTTTCCCTTGTCATGCTAAGTTGCCTGTTTTATTTTGTCTGTTGCTTTCACCAATTGCCTGTTATTATATACTTTTAATTTGATTAAAAGTATATATTACTTTTATATTATATAGTAATAGTATATATTACTATTATATACTTATAATTTGAAAAATTATTCTTTATACAGCTCTAGTATAACTATGGTTGTAGATGGAAGATTTGTATAAGCTTTTGCAGCCACATAACAAATATTTTAAAGAATCAGAGTCAATGGAGGCCATAAGACACTTTTGTCAGATCATATTTTTAAAATAATAAATAACTGAACTCTTAAAAATAATGCATTATTTGTCTTGAATAAATTTAGATAACATACATTAGAAAACAAAACAAAATAAAAACAAAGGACACCCTGAGAACAACACAAGTGAAAAAGAATGCAAACTGAGGTTTGTCTCTACTTGACAGGAAGCACCTGAAGCACCTGGCAAGATATAAGTTTTTTGTTTGTTTGTTTTCATAGAATTTGTAAAAAAAGTAACAGATACTTTAGAAGAGGAAAAAAAAAAAAAGTGAAAAACCAGATGAATATTTAAATCTTCAAAGAATTGAACCACAATCTTGTACAGATTAATTTTACTATACTGAAAAAGTAGCTTTTCTGGATTGTACCATATAACTTATTTTTACTTTTTATTAAATGTAACAGTTGTTGAAATCTGTTACATAACTTACACTATTGTAAATGAACTTCAGTGATGAGTGTATATTTCATTAAATGTATATATACATATATATATATATATCATTTTGTTATAATTTGAGGGAAAGATATTACATAAATGCTGATCAGTATTTATGACAACATGTGCCTATAGCCCAAAAATAATGAAGAGCAAGAAAGAGAGAAACATTACGATTGACTAAACCACCATTTTAATGTTCTTCTTCCATGAGTAAGTACATGTATATACCATAACCATTAAACTTATAAGTGTCAGAG